GACTTTTGGTTCAACTTTATTTCATTTTGGTCATATGACCGGAGGTTTAATTATTATGGATTTGGATTATGATTCATTTAATAATAATTCTAGTTTTTCTATATTTGTTTCTTCATATAAATATGATAGTGATGTAAACATATGGCATGCTAGACTTGGTTATATTGGCCAACAAAGAATACAAAGTTTAGCAAAATAAGGTTTGCTTTCCAGCATTGAACATGTGGAGTTGTCCACTTGTGAAAATTGTCTAGCTAAAAAATTTGCAAGAAAACCTTTTGGTCAGGCGACTAGAACCGAATACCCTTTGGAATTAGTCCATTCAGACATTTGTGGGCCTATGAATGTTAGGTCTAGGCATGGAGCAAGTTATTTCATCACAATTATTGATGACTTTACACGTTTCAATTATGTCTATTTAATTTCCCACAAAGCAGAAGCAATAAGTTGCTTCAAACGCCATACGAGCTTAGTGGAAAATCAATTAGACAGGAAGATAAAAACTCTTCGAACTAAATGTGGTCGCGAATACTTATCAACCTAGTTTAACAGTTTATGTGATGAAAAGGGAATAGTTCATCAGTTGACTATCCCAAATACTCCACAACAAAATGGTATTGCGGAGAGAAGAAATAGAACGTTCCTAGAAATGGTTAGGTTAATGTCTGCACAAGCTAACCTCCCAATTAGTTACTAGGGTGATGTGTTGCTTACTTCTACCTTTGTTCTTAACTGAGAGCCTACAAAATCAGTTACTACTACCCCGTATGAGTTATGGATTAGAAGACAACTCGACTTGAGTGTATTAAGACCTTGGGGTTGTGCTGCCTATACACAAGATTCCTCTCACAAATATGGCAAATTAGGCTTGAGGGGAAAGAAAAGTATCTTTATAAGATACTCTGAAACCTCAAAGGGCTATGTATTTATAGGTTAGCAAGACAGTGGGAGTGTAACTGAGTTTGAATCACGAGATGTCACATTCTTAGAGGATGAATTCCCTTAGAAGGGAGAGGTAGGTCAAGACCTAACCTTATTTGAGATAATGGATCAAGAAGTACAAGGATCACTTCATTCGAGTGGGAGAATTTTAGCAGATGATGAATTAGTTTCTCATCAAATACCTCATTAATCATCATATGCGAATGAAAGTAATCCTTCTACATTTAATAGAAGTGACCAAATGGATCTTGTTCCAAGTGGGAGCGAGATGGTCACAGATCTTGTTCCAAATGGGAGTAGGATGAATGATCTTGATCCGAGTGGGAGCAACATTTATCCAAATGGGAAAAATGATGAATCACAACTAAGACGTGGTTCTCGTAAAAATATTCCCCGCCGAAGATTTGATGTTGAAGGCGGCGAACTCTTTATGATGCTCCTGCAAGAAGAAAACAAGCCTAAAAATGTAAAAGAGGCTCTCTCATGCCCTGCTAAGGATAAATGGACAAAAATAATGGAAGATGAATTGGAGTCTATGAGAGTCAACAAAGTTTGGGAACTAGTTGACATCCCTGAAGGACGCAAAGCAATTGGGAGCAAATGGGTTCTCAAAGTTAAGCTCAAGGCTGATGGCACAGTTGAGAGATATAAGGCTCGACTGGTGGCAAAAGGGTATACACAGTAGAAAGGAATAGACTACGAAGAGACTTTCTCGCCTGTTGTACGATTTACCTCAGTTCGCGTGGTTCTAGCTATTGTTGCTAGCTTGGATCTTGAATTACATCAGATGGATGTAAAGACTGCCTTTCTCAATGGAGAACTAGATGAAGAAATATATATGGAACAACCTGAGTGTTTCATTGAAAAGGACCACGAACAAAAGGTTTGTAGACTTTTGAAGTCTATTTATGGCCTCAAACAATCTTCAAAGCAATGGTAGATACGCTTTCAGAATGTTTTTGTATTCAATGATTTTACCATGATGGATGAAGACCATTGCGTTTATACCATGGAGGAGATCTAGACAAGAGGAAGTCTACCTTAGGATATATTTCTTACTCAGTGATGGGGCCATATCTTGGAGTAGTAAGAAACAATCATGTGTATAACTATCTATGATGGAAGCTGAATACGTGGCTCTCGCATCAGCAACACAAGAAGCTGTTTGGTTGAAAAGGTTCTTGGAGCACTTGTTGGATATCACTGAAAATACTGAACCAATATTAGTCTACTATGACAGTGAGGCTGCAATATCCTCCACCAAGTACCCTAAGTTTCATTGTAAAACCAAACATATAGATATCAAGTATAACTATGCGAGAGACATGGTTAGACGCAAGGTAGTGAATGTGAAGTATGTGTCTACAAAAGATATATTAGCAGATCCATTGACCAAGCCTTTGTCTAGATATGCATTTGTGAGACACACTAGGTCTCAAGGCTTGTGTAGACTCTGAGATACTTTATTTGTTATCTATTTTTTTGGTGTTCACAAAACTGGTGTTCTTTGATTATCAATAAAGTTGATTTATATACATACATATTTTTATTGTTAAATGTTATGTGCATTCTTTATTTTTTAATAAGTATGTTGGGTAGACAAGAGGTTGGCCTTCTCACACAGGCAATTACCTCCTTATCTTAGTAATGTGAGGAGATGAGACATGATTTTAAGCAAAATTATCATAAGCATAATTTGAGAGCTATTCGCTTAAAATTAGAATGTCGCTTAAACAATTACATAAGGTCATTAGGGTGAAAAACGTTCACCTAGTCTACTTTTGTGAGCCAGATGTGAGTTAAAAATGATATTATAGATCAAAGAACTAAAATTTAGATACTTATGGTGTCTAAATATCATCTGTACAGTATTCTTTATGAGATAAAGACATACGCTCCTTGGGAAAAGGGAAAAAATGTTATAGCACATGTTTCATACCATGTGTGCTAATGTCGACCAATTGAGTTAATATAAGTCCATTCTCAACTTATTGTTGTGTGAGACCCAAAGCTTTTATGATAGTTTAAGATTTTGTATCCTTAGAGACTCCGATCAGATACTTGAGACTTAGTATTATGTTAGCTATCTTAGTATGTTTCCAAAAGACTATGTACACAGATTCGGTCTAGCGGAGCATATCTAGAAAAGCAGTCATATTAATGTTAAGGGAATCGCGAGAAGAGGAAAATCATTGATGGAATCTCATTTATTTATATTCACTGGTGCACCAATTATAACTTATGAGTTATGATTGTGAATACAAGAAATAATGATATATAAGATTTTGAGACGATATCAAATGTGATTTATATGATCTAGGGTACTGCATACTTTATGATCTACTTGCAGGTTCGCACTCAGCGGGAGTCTATATACTCCTAACAGATGTATAGTACTTAGCTCTCATAGTATGTTGGTCACACGGTCTACTTCCCTGTATGAATGATTGAGGAGATGAGTTGAGAATATGTTTCTCGGGCTAGATTAGCACTCCCATTATGTGTGAGTGGGAGATGTAGGAAATAGAGTCACACCCATAAGGGGTTCTCTTAGGGCCCACTAGTGTAAAACACAGTAATTTTAGTAATTACTGTAACCCTAGTAGTCCCTATATAAGTACACTTACTGTGTACAATAAAGTAGGACTCTCTGCAGTATATTTTATATGCTCTTCTCTCTCAATTTCAGTTAGGGTTTAGATTGTGATATATGGGGTTGCTCCGTCACAATGTGACAACCACCACCGACCAGTGATTCCAGCCGCGTTCGTCCATTTTTTGCTTCCGCGCCACGAAGAACAAGTAAGTTCTCGTTTTATGATTTATGCGCTAAATCTAATGTGTTTAGATGTTCCTTCAGTTCCGGATATACGGCCCTTTATCTGTCGCCTACAACCATTAATTGCACTTCCCGAAGCCTCAGAACTCGTCCCGAGTCCGGGGTGCATCATCTTATCAGGTCCGATGACGAGCACTCCGTTCGGGCCTTGATACAAAGAGTTCCTAGTGTTGATTTCGATCTCACATATTCATACTCTTGCTTCGTTTGGTCATTCTTTTCTTTTTTTTCACACCATGTGTAGTTTTGCAAAAGACTTTTTGGCTCATTACTTTATTCCATCAAAGTTATATATATTGGCTCTATTCTTACCAATATATTGGCTCTATTCTTACCAATATAATATAACATTGCAAATGCAATTGTGCTGCGTTACCTGAAATCATGTACTCTCTAAAGTATATGAAGTAGTATTTAGTTTTTAAATCGAGCTAAACTCACACCAGAATACCGCAAGAACCCTCGCCATCTATGCATAGGTCCGCTTACACTTTAGGAATAATCCAAACATGTTCATTAGGATTGTAATTAGCTCAAATTAAATACTCCCCCGTTTCAAATTAGATGAGATACCTTCCTTTTTAGTTTATTTCAAAATAAATGACACATTTCTAAATTTGAAAATAATTCAACTTTAAATTTTTATTTTACATATTTTACCCTTAATGAGAAGCTTTTATAACCACACAAATGTCATGGCCGCACAAAGTTTTTGCCCCTAAAGCTTTTAAGACCATAAATTTCAAAAGTTTTTCTTTTTACTTAAACTCTGTACCTAGTCAAACCAGCTCATCTAAATTGATACGGAGGGAGTAGAAAAATACATGAGGCTTTACACATTTTTATTACTTTTTCATGTCTAAAAGTTTTATTCAACTACTTCCTCCGTTCCAATTTATGTGAACCTGTTTGACTAGGCAAGAAATTTAAGAAAAAGTGAAGACTTTTGGATTTGTAATCTTAAACAAGTCAAAAAGGAGGCCAGAGTATTTGTGTGGTTATAAAAACTTTTCATTAAGGGTGGAATTATAAATTTAAGCTAAATTGTTACCAAAGTTAGAAAGAGGTCATTCTTTTTTAAACGGACCAAAAAAGAAATAGGTAAACAAATTGACAGTGTGACTATAAAGTCTTCGGAATTTCTGGTGGCACTTGGAAGCAAATTTAAACTTCTCAAACTTTCTTGTGATGTGAAATATGCAAATATCTTCCCCACAAAAAAAAAATATCTGCCCAAGCCAAAAAGAAGAAAACCTAACTCTTTCCTGCCACTTTTTTCCTCTCTCCCCTCCAGCAGAAACAAATGCATTCTTTAACTCTACCAATACAAACCATTCCCAACAAAAGCATAAACAAACTTCCAAATCCTAGAACTCCACTAGCAAATTCATGGAAATCCCACAACAATATTAATATTAATACAAATAAATCTCTCATGATATGCAGAGCTTATTCTTCTTCAATCACTGACTTTGACCTCTATGATCTTCTTGGAGTTGATAGTTCATCTAACCAGGCTCAGATTAAGCTGGCCTATAGGATGCTGCAGAAGCGATGCCACCCAGATATCGCCGGAGCATCTGGTCATGACATGGCTATTATCCTCAATGAAGCCTATGCTCTTCTTTCTGATCCAATTGCACGTATGGCTTATGATAAGGTCAGTTCATCCATGTACATGGTGGAAAAAGTAGTAGTCTTTTGATTGTTAAATCACTTTTGTTTAGTATTGTGCACCTTGTATAAAATCACTGTCATTCCATCCATCTCGGACGTGTTTTATGGATCCTACTAAATCTACTGCTTCTGATTCAGACTATGTATACATATGCAAAAGAAACTTCACGTCCACTAACTTTAAATCCTGAATTCACGATAATTCTTAGGTAGACTATGCCTATCTTCTTTAAGAGAAAAAAAAAAAATCTTTCCCTCACTTTCCTTGTTACCTTGTATTATCCTAAAAATTGGTCTTTAAATCAGCTTAAGCACATCCTTCTTTAATGTTTGTCTTGTAATCAAATAATGCAGGAACTGACAAAAATTGCAGACTTAAGGGGGTACACAGGAAAACCTTTATATTCAGCATGGTGTGGTCCAGAGAATGAAGAAAGAGCTGTGTTTGTTGATGAAGTCAAGTGTGTAGGTTGCCTAAAGTGTGCATTATTCGCTGAAAAGACATTTGCTGTTGAATCTGTGTATGGAAGAGCCAGAGTAGTTGCTCAGTGGGCTGATACTGAACCCAAAATTCAAGAAGCTATAGATGCATGTCCAGTTGATTGCATCTCGTAAGACTATTTACTAATTGGGAGTTCAAACATTGATAGTTAATTGCTTACTTACTTCTTCTTTCTGACATGTTCTCATAGGGTTGTTGAGAGGTCAAACTTGGCTGCACTTGAATTCCTAATGTCCAAGAAGCCGCGAGGCAATGTTAGAATTGGTGCTGGCAATACTGTTGGTGCTCGCACCTCGAATATATTTGATGATCTAGACAAATTTCAAAGCAGATATCAAGATGCCTTGAATAAAGCTTCCAAAACCAACCCTAAGGTAATCCTTGTTCTGAATATATTAGCACAAATGTTCAAATGTAATAGCGATTTAGCCGGTGACAGGGCCAACCAGGGTAACCTCCGTTTGACATATAACTCTTACTATATTTCAGGCTTCATATGTGCAAAAAGAAGCACGAATGTCAGCATTTCAAGCAATCCGGGCAATGTCAAGTTGGGTCTACTGGCAATCACCTATTATAGGGACTGCAGAAGCTGTCCAGGCTTTGGTACCAGTTAGGAGAAGGCTAATTGAACCCGACATTAAGAAGCTCAGAGCTGCTGCAGAAACTATGAAACAAGCCAAAGCAACAGTTAATCAAAGGTGCAACGATGAGTATTGGTCTCCATCAACCCCTGCACTTCCAGAAGCAACAAACACTAGTTTGGTGGATGAAGTTTCCTCGAATGCTTCTTCTCCCAAAACACCGGTAGAATTCTATGATGAAGCTTTCTCACCTAAGGAGAAAATTCAAGGCAATCCCTGGCTCTGGAGAGTGCCATTCGCAACAGCAACAGCAGCAGCAACTATAGTTTGGTTAAAACTTGGAGAAGAAGCGACTGCTAGACTCAACGATCATATTGGTGGTTCTCTCGCATTAGACATTGTCAACAGCTCATGGCTGAAGGTCATTCTTGCAGGTGCTACATGGTATATGATTGGTATGGCTCTAGTGGAACTTGTGGGGTCTCTACAAAGTTTGTTTGGGAAGGACAGAAAATAGTGAACACTTTCATTCCAGAATACAAGTGCAAGCAGATAAATCTTGCAACATAAATGTAAAGTTACTATATGGCCTAATCAGTTCCTGTCCCAAGGGCCTCAAAGTCTGCTTATAGAAAAACAAAGCTTCACCTATGAGATTGCCTTGTATTACACTTTACATATTTAAGAGGTAAAACATTAAGAAAAACATAGAATGCGCTCAACCACACATATGCACACTAAGAAGTTAGATGCTAAACCCTTCCATTACCTGATATCCTGATCAGACTTTATTCCATTATAGAAATTGGAGTTGCAAAATGCGTATTGTAGCGTTAGCAGAACTGATGGAAATCGTTGTAAAGAGTAGAGAAACCAAAAGCTACCTGAATAGTTAAATCTTCTCCCTAATCTACTCGTTCACTTATGGCACCTAGCACATGCTGAAGCCGAAACCACAAAAGCACAATTTCAATATAGTCAATATAATTTATCATAACATGGTTTGAACAAGACTAGAGGTCTTTCCACTTGCAACTAATGGAAAGTTATTGTACACTTCTGGGTCTTGACAGCTGATTCAGTTTAATCATAAAGTATCTTATAGTTCAGTACAATATCACAGACACTCAGTAACGATACTTGGTAGAGTAATCTTTAGGTGCAATAACTAGACCACGACCCTTTCTCGCGCCACGGTACACTGTCTCAACAATATCAATGAACTCTTGTTTATCTTTGAGAGCCCAGTTGATCTTGTTATTGTTTCCTGTGCCAAGATCAATCATGATGTGCTTGTTCCTGAAGAAGAACATGATAGTGGATGGATCGTACAACTCATACATTGTGTTAAAATCAGGGACCTCTGTGATGTCCACCAGATATATGACAGCAAAATTCTTTAATGTATCTGCAACCGAAGCCAGCACCTCGTCCATCTGAAACGCCAGAAGAAATAACCAGCTAAAACCAAATAGAGTTTTACAGATTTTATAGCAAGGGAAAAATGTGTGTGCCAGAGAAGGGGGGAAGGGGGGGGGGGGGGGGGAATCAGTATGCCACTGTGAACCCTCCCCAGGCAGGAGATGAGAGAAGCCAAATCTATATATCTATATAAAGTAGGGAAAATAAGAGATGAGTTGCACCTCTCTTTGGCCAAGGATCCTAATTACCATTTATTATTTCCACTTTTTGGTTATTTTGGGGGTCTCTTTATAACTACAACAAAGAATTATAACAGTGAGGTATAGAAGAGTCACAAAAATTAAAGCACATAAAGTGTATTAAATAAAAATACAAACAATCCGTTTGCATTTTCCTAAAAAAAAGCTACTCCCTCCGTCCACTTTTACTTATCTAGTATTCTAAAAATAGACTTTTACTTGTCACTTTTAGCGCATCAAGAGAAAACAATTTCTTTTTTCCTGTTATACCCACATTATTAATTACTCATTTCAAATTATTTTCTCAAAACTATTAAAAATATGCATCAATTAATATGGGTATCATGGTAAATTTTGCACTTTATTTATTATTTCTTAAAGGGTGTGCAAAGTCAATAGTGGACAACTAAAAATGAACGGATGGAGTAAAACAAAATGTCTCTTCCTCTTCTTTCCATTAATTTTCTTAATTATTCCTCTTTATTTATCTTCTTTCCCACAAATAAGTACACGTACAATCAACATTACCAGAAACAATGGGGAATTCCAATCGAGACTGATTGAAAAGAACGTCTCTTCCTCCTTTTCCCATTAATTTTCCTAACTACTCTTTAGCTTATTTTCTTTCCCACAAACAAGTACACATACAGTCAACTTTCCCAGAAACAATGGAGAATTCCATGCGAGATTTATTGAAATGAGATTTCAGTTACTGAAGAATATGCATTTGCAGTAGGTAACTCTTCTATCAACAGGGTCAATTAGTATATGTTGGAGAATAATTGGAGTGCCAATACTAAATACTTTAGGTATATTAATTGTCGTTATAACATTTTGCGTTAAACGGTTTAAGTATTGATCTTTTCCTTGATGTGGTGTTTCCCTGTTCATGATTTTTATCATGTAGTCCAATAATAGGCACGCTCACCTTTAGGGCATAGCCTTCCTCTTGGTGTTTCTTTGCCATTTTTACATTTTCTTTTCCAATTTTCTCCATGCCATGGCTTTTTTGTTTATCTGTATATTTCTAATTCTCAAAATTATCTTTTGCACATGCATACGTAATTTGAGACAGTTATTTCTTATTATGAATGTCTTTTATGCATACTTAATTTGAGATGGTAAATTTATAGAATTAAATCTCTACAGGACAGGAAAGTCTTTCATCGATAAAATAGAAGCATGAATGTATTCAAGAGTTCTAGGCGTGTAATAGTCTCCATTCACCATTATTTTCTGGGACTATTGCACTGTTGTTATTGACTTTGAGGTAGTGAAGTTTTAACGGTATTTGATGCTTAAAGAAAGTCAAAGTATTTAATATTTTGGTTCTTTTCTCTTTCCAAGCCTTTATATATTCCATGTTTAAAGGAGGTGGAAACTCTTTACCTCACTCACGTTACATCACTCCTCCAGTACGAGATCAAGATCATTTGGCGGTGTTACATAAATCTACTAATGCTTCTTAAAATTGTGTATTGCATAAATCTACTGATGCATCTTAAGACCACGCGACGCGCGAATAAATTTACTAGTGATGTTATATTACTGCATAGTAAATGCATCAATTAAAAATACCACTTATGCCCATATTATCCCCAACCTACCAACCACCCAAAAACCAGCTTCCCTGATAAAAAAGAGAGAGCTCACAGTACAGCCTCAGAGCAGAGACAAGTTTAGCTTACAATCTGTAGTTTTAGTTATAAAAATGAAGGGTATATTGAAAGTTCAGGGGATTTAAGGCAGCAAATAGTCAAGCAACAATATGACTCACCAGTAGGTGGACACTCAAGTCAAGTAGGTACATTAAAGAGAGTTTCCTGGCCTAAGCTTAAAGAAAATGTGAAGTCCTATGTGAACTATTGTGAAATGTACCAAAGAAGCAAGGAAGAAAAATACCCTACCTAGGGCTTCTACAACTCTTTCTTTATGATAATGGTGTTCGTGCCAGCTTGCACTTTGACTATTGCACCAGGTACCTGATATCTTCCACCAGCTCAAGTACCGGTAACTCTGTCACCAAAAGGCTTAGACAGATGCGAAGAAATTATCTAGTGCTTTTTTATCTTCGCCGGAGCTTGAACCAGAGAACTAACAGTTCTCCAGCCTACCTTATAAAAAAAACAGCTTTCCAGCCTAGGGCTTCTATAACTCTTACCCGTTCCTGAGCAGGTTTGGATGCATAGCATATTAGTGCAGACTTCATAGAGGTCCAAATCACAAGGAAAGGACACCATCTTTGTGGTAGTAGACGGCATGACTAAAGGGATAACAGAAAGCTAAAATGAACTCCTGAAACCATCCTTTCTGATAGAAACGGTATATTTTTTATTAACTGCTGGCAGGAATTGTTATTTTAAATTAATGTGGACACGACTAAGTTTCAGCACAGCTTATCACCCTCCATCAGATGGACAGACGAAGAGGGCGAATAGATGTAATATTGCCTGTTTGAGATGTATGACAGCTCATAGACCCAATCAGTGGAAGGAATGGCTTGGTTTAGCTGAACGGAGGTGCAATTCAAACTTCCATAACGGTTTGAATTGCGTACCATTTCATCCATGGTATGGGTATCGCCTCCTGAGATATCAAATGGAGCCTCATTAGAAGCTAATGTACCAGCACCAGAGGATTTCTTAGCCAAGAGCAACAAATTCAGCAGCTATAGAAAGACAATCTAAAGCAAAGCACGAAATAAGTTAAATTTTATGCACATAAGCACAAAACTGAACAAGAATTTAACAAATTTGAAGTTCCATGTCAGATGAGCCTTCAAGTTTCCGGAAAGGGCAAGGTGGCATATAGACTGCGTTTACGTTCTGACTCTGGGGTGCACCCCATGTTTCATATATATATGATCTCAATAAACATGGTCATTCAACCAGCAGCAATCTTGCAGAGATAGTGGGTCAAAAGGGGCAACTTGAGAGTGGTAAAGGAACTGGTGCATTGGACAAACTTAGCTCCAGAAGACTCCACATGGGAAGATTTTGACTTCGTCTGGGCCATGTTTCCAGAATTGCTGCTAGTTCTTGAGGACAAGAATTAATTTAAGGGGTCTGGAATGTTATATGTAAAATGGAGGGGAGCAATATACGTAAAAAGAGAAGTCGATTTAAACAACAAATGAAACAAACTGCTGAGATTAGCTTTTCTTAATGAGCAGAAACCGCTCAAATTGACCCTGCTGAGATTAGCCTTCCTCCAGTTAAGAGCTTTGTTTGTCGTCTCAATCTCAGAAGGATGTCATCATTGATGGGGAACAAAAAGTAAAACTCCTTTCTTATCATTTCTTTTGTTTCTGAATTCTAATTCAAGCTAGATTCTTTTTAATCATTATTTCATTTCTGAATTCAACTTTTTGAAATCCTCGGTGGAAGAGGTACCAAGTACATGTGCGGGTAGGAAGTAGCATGTATCCAGTAGAATAGTTGTGTGCAGCGCAAAGCTGTAAACTGATCCAAATACCATCGGATTCCCCAAAAACTCCGGTCCCATGTCAACCCCTGACTGATCGGAGGCCTAAAAGCCTCAAAAAGGAGGAAGGGTACTCCAATCGACCAGGTTTTTATTTTGTAAATAAGGTTAAAAAAAGAACTTTCAGAAAGCGGCTCCCAAAATGGAATAGGAAAATGGCCAAATAGTAACTTGCGGCTCAGTCCGAAACAAGTAGCAATCTGCCATATGAATCTTCACCATATTTTTCCATTTATAATCACCTTAGACAAAGATTATACAAAACAAAAATAAAATAAAAAAAGTAAAAGAAGTTATCTAAATCTCCTACTGCATGAGAATCTCTAATAGGGCTAACGGACTCCAAAAAAGCATAGGACCTAAAGTAAACGTATTAACATGAGTAAAGCATATTACCAATTAATTTGTATTGCCTATACAATTTTTCTCTTCCATTATGTCCTATCTTTTGTTAAGTATTTTGTTAAGTCCGCATTGATTCCAACATATTGTAGGCATTTCTAGACCATTTCTTTTCATGTGATTTTAGGTCTACCTTATCCCTTTCAATAACCATGTCTTCACACCTAATGACCAGCTAAGTTGCTCAGACACGGCAGTTTAGGTGCCGCATCCGTGTCGACATGACACTAGTATGGGTGTGGGTATAGGATCCGTATCGAATCTGGTCAAATAATTTTGGGTACTTTGACCACGACGGGTGGAAAAATTCAAGACGAGATACAATTTGATTCCCGAAATCAGAACCAAAACTAGGGTACATTTGAGAAAACAGCATATTTTATCTAGCAAACCAATCATTTACTTATCTACAACTTGAGAATAAAAAAAAGAAATCCATACTTTACAAGCTATATGTAAATATTCCACAAAATTTCTCATAATTTAAATATTTTTTTACTTTTTTATTTTCTTTTTAGCCAATCCGTACTAGGATCCGTATCCCTGAATCTTAGAATTTACATCTCGAAGATCCGACCTCTAGATCTACACCCGTGTCGGACACCCGCACTCGTGTCCGAGCAACTTAGATGACTGGTGAATCTGGAAGCTGACGTCCAGAGGCCAACGCAAGAGATAACCAACCATCTCAAGCAACCTTCTTTCATTTTATCCTCAATGTATGCTACTTGTCCCTTCCGGAGAATATGATCATTTTTAGGCTAATCTAATCTAGTACCCACACATCAATTTTAGCATCCACATTTATGTGACACTCATCTTGTGGATGAGTAGTGTTGCTAAAGGTAAAAAGCTCCAAAAAGCGCTCCAGGTCAAATAGGATTTTAAGCACAAACGCAATTTAAGTGTGGGCTTTAGCAACAAAAAATGGTACAATGAAAGGAAAAAATAACAATATATATGTAATTTAAGAAAAAAGTAACAAATACCCTCGGCTCAAGTAAAGCATAATCCCGGCATTCATGGAAAAGAGAGACAATAGCCACGGAAAAGGAAGCAGTAACAATAACAACAAAATAAGATAATTGAAACAAAACAACAGTTAGTGAGATTAAAAAATAAGAAAATACGAATGTAATACCAGTAATACTAGTATGGAGAAGAAAAGCGCCCGCCTACCTATTACCCTACTACCTTAATCCTCGACCTCCACACCCTTTTATCAGGGGTCATGTCCTCAGTAAGTTGCAAATGTACCATCTCCTATCTAATCACCTTTTCCAAATACTTCTTTTGCCTACCTCGCCTCTTCTTAGATCCATCAACATCAACCTCTCACGCCTCCTCACTAGGGCATATGTGTCTCTCATCTTGACATGTCCAAGCTACCTCAACCTCGCTTTAAATATTGACGAACTAAGATGTTCAAGTATAAAAAGGGG